TCATTCTCCCCCGCTCCCTCATGCTCCCCCGCCCCCTCATGCTCCCCCGCTCCCTCATGCTCCCCCGCCCCCTCATTCTCCCCCGCCCCCTCATTCTCCCCCGCTCCCTCATTCTCCCCCGCTCCCTCATGCTCCCCCGCCCCCTCATGCTCCCCCGCTCCCTCATTCTCCCCCGCTCCCTCATTCTCCCCCGCTCCCTCATGCTCCCCCGCTCCCTCATGCTCCCCCGCTCCCTCATTCTCCCCCGCTCCCTCATGCTCCCCCGCTCCCTCATTCTCCCCCGCTCCCTCATGCTCCCCCGCTCCCTCATGCTCCCCCGCTCCCTCATTCTCCCCGCTCCCTCATGCTCCCCCGCTCCCTCATTCTCCCCCGCTCCCTCATGCTCCCCCGCTCCCTCATTCTCCCCCGCTCCCTCATGCTCCCCCGCTCCCTCATGCTCCCCCGCTCCCTCATGCTCCCCCGCTCCCTCATGCTCCCCCGCTCCCTCATTCTCCCCCGCTCCCTCATGCTCCCCCGCTCCCTCATTCTCCCCCGCCCCCTCATGCTCCCCCGCTCCCTCATGCTCCCCCGCTCCCTCATGCTCCCCCGCTCCCTCATGCTCCCCCGCCCCCTCATGCTCCCCCGCCCCCTCATGCTCCCCCGCTCCCTCATGCTCCCCCGCCCCCTCATGCTCCCCCGCTCCCTCATGCTCCCCCGCTCCCTCATGCTCCCCCGCCCCCTCATGCTCCCCCGCTCCCTCATGCTCCCCCGCTCCCTCATTCTCCCCGCTCCCTCATGCTCCCCCGCCCCCTCATTCTCCCCCGCTCCCTCATGCTCCCCCGCTCCCTCATTCTCCCCCGCTCCCTCATTCTCCCCCGCTCCCTCATGCTCCCCCCGCCCCCTCATGCTCCCCTGCTCCCTCATGCTCCCCCGCTCCCTCATTCTCCCCCGCTCCCTCATGCTCCCCCGCTCCCTCATTCTCCCCCGCTCCCTCATGCTCCCCCGCTCCCTCATTCTCCCCCGCTCCCTCATGCTCCCCCGCTCCCTCATGCTCCCCCGCTCCCTCATGCTCCCCCGCTCCCTCATTCTCCCCCGCTCCCTCATGCTCCCCCGCTCCCTCATGCTCCCCCGCTCCCTCATGCTCCCCCGCTCCCTCATGCTCCCCCGCCCCCTCATGCTCCCCCGCCCCCTCATGCTCCCCCGCTCCCTCATGCTCCCCCCGCCCCCTCATGCTCCCCCGCTCCCTCATGCTCCCCCGCTCCCTCATGCTCCCCCGCCCCCTCATGCTCCCCCGCTCCCTCATGCTCCCCCGCTCCCTCATTCTCCCCCGCTCCCTCATGCTCCCCCGCCCCCTCATGCTCCCCCGCTCCCTCATGCTCCCCCGCTCCCTCATTCTCCCCCGCTCCCTCATTCTCCCCCGCTCCCTCATGCTCCCCCGCCCCCTCATGCTCCCCCGCTCCCTCATTCTCCCCCGCTCCCTCATTCTCCCCCGCTCCCTCATGCTCCCCCGCTCCCTCATTCTCCCCCGCTCCCTCATGCTCCCCCGCTCCCTCATTCTCCCCCGCTCCCTCATTCTCCCCCGCTCCCTCATGCTCTCCCGCTCCCTCATTCTCCCCCGCTCCCTCATGCTCCCCCGCTCCCTCATTCTCCCCCGCTCCCTCATGCTCCCCCGCTCCCTCATGCTCCCCCGCCCCCTCATGCTCCCCCGCCCCCTCATGCTCCCCCGCTCCCTCATGCTCCCCCGCCCCCTCATGCTCCCCGCCCCCTCATGCTCCCCCGCTCCCTCATGCTCCCCCGCTCCCTCATGCTCCCCCGCCCCCTCATGCTCCCCCGCTCCCTCATTCTCCCCCGCTCCCTCATGCTCCCCCGCTCCCTCATTCTCCCCCGCTCCCTCATGCTCCCCCGCTCCCTCATGCTCCCCCGCTCCCTCATGCTCCCCCGCTCCCTCATGCTCCCCCGCTCCCTCATGCTCCCCCGCTCCCTCATGCTCCCCCGCTCCCTCATGCTCCCCCGCTCCCTCATGCTCCCCCGCTCCCTCATGCTCCCCCGCTCCCTCATGCTCCCCCGCTCCCTCATGCTCCCCCGCCCCCTCATGCTCCCCCGCTCCCTCATGCTCCCCCCGCTCCCTCATGCTCCCCCGCTCCCTCATGCTCCCCCGCTCCCTCATGCTCCCCCGCCCCCTCATGCTCCCCCGCTCCCTCATGCTCCCCCGCTCCCTCATGCTCCCCCGCCCCCTCATGCTCCCCCGCTCCCTCATTCTCCCCCGCTCCCTCATGCTCCCCCGCCCCCTCATGCTCCCCCGCTCCCTCATTCTCCCCCGCTCCCTCATTCTCCCCCGCCCCCTCATGCTCCCCCGCTCCCTCATTCTCCCCCGCTCCCTCATTCTCCCCCGCTCCCTCATTCTCCCCCGCTCCCTCATTCTCCCCCGCTCCCTCATTCTCCCCCCGCCCCCTCATGCTCCCCCGCCCCCTCATGCTCCCCCGCCCCCTCATGCTCCCCCGCTCCCTCATGCTCCCCCGCCCCCTCATGCTCCTCCGCTCCCTCATGCTCCCCCGCTCCCTCATGCTCCCCCGCTCCCTCATGCTCCCCCGCTCCCTCATGCTCCCCCGCCCCCTCATGCTCCCCCGCCCCCTCATGCTCCCCCGCCCCCTCATGCTCCCCCGCTCCCTCATTCTCCCCCGCTCCCTCATGCTCCCCCGCCCCCTCATGCTCCCCCGCCCCCTCATGCTCCCCCGCTCCCTCATGCTCCCCCGCTCCCTCATTCTCCCCCGCTCCCTCATTCTCCCCCGCTCCCTCATGCTCCCCCGCCCCCTCATGCTCCCCCGCTCCCTCATGCTCCCCCGCTCCCTCATTCTCCCCCGCTCCCTCATGCTCCCCCGCTCCCTCATTCTCCCCCGCTCTCTCATTCTCCCCCGCTCCCTCATTCTCCCCCGCTCCCTCATGCTCCCCCGCTCCCTCATTCTCCCCCGCTCCCTCATTCTCCCCCGCCCCCTCATGCTCCCCCGCTCCCTCATGCTCCCCCGCCCCCTCATGCTCCCCGGCTCCCTCATGCTCCCCCGCTCCCTCATGCTCCCCCGCTCCCTCATGCTCCCCCGCTCCCTCATGCTCCCCCGCTCCCTCATGCTCCCCCACCCCCTCATTCTCCCCCGCCCCCTCATGCTCCCCCGCTCCCTCATGCTCCCCCGCTCCCTCATTCTCCCCCGCTCCCTCATGCTCCCCCGCTCCCTCATGCTCCCCCGCCCCCTCATGCTCCCCCGCTCCCTCATGCTCCCCCGCTCCCTCATGCTCCCCCGCTCCCTCATGCTCCCCCGCTCCCTCATGCTCCCCCGCTCCCTCATGCTCCCCCGCTCCCTCATGCTCCCCCGCTCCCTCATTCTCCCCCGCTCCCTCATGCTCCCCCGCTCCCTCATTCTCCCCCGCTCCCTCATGCTCCCCCGCTCCCTCATGCTCCCCCGCTCCCTCATGCTCCCCCGCCCCCTCATGCTCCCCCGCTCCCTCATGCTCCCCCGCCCCCTCATGCTCCCCCCGCCCCCTCATGCTCCCCCGCTCCCTCATGCTCCCCCGCTCCCTCATGCTCCCCCGCTCCCTCATGCTCCCCCGCCCCCTCATGCTCCCCCGCCCCCTCATGCTCCCCCGCTCCCTCATGCTCCCCCGCGCCCTCATTCTCCCCCGCTCCCTCATTCTCCCCCGCCCCCTCATGCTCCCCCGCTCCCTCATGCTCCCCCGCCCCCTCATGCTCCCCCGCCCCCTCATGCTCCCCCGCTCCCTCATGCTCCCCCGCCCCCTCATGCTCCCCCGCTCCCTCATGCTCCCCCGCTCCCTCATGCTCCCCCGCTCCCTCATGCTCCCCCGCTCCCTCATTCTCCCCCGCTCCCTCATTCTCCCCCGCTCCCTCATGCTCCCCCGCTCCCTCATGCTCCCCCCGCTCCCTCATGCTCCCCCGCTCCCTCATTCTCCCCCGCTCCCTCATTCTCCCCCGCTCCCTCATGCTCCCCCGCCCCCTCATGCTCCCCCGCTCCCTCATGCTCCCCCGCCCCCTCATGCTCCCCCGCCCCCTCATGCTCCCCCGCTCCCTCATTCTCCCCCGCTCCCTCATGCTCCCCCGCCCCCTCATGCTCCCCCGCTCCCTCATGCTCCCCCGCTCCCTCATGCTCCCCCGCTCCCTCATGCTCCCCCGCTCCCTCATGCTCCCCCGCTCCCTCATGCTCCCCCGCCCCCTCATGCTCCCCCGCCCCCTCATGCTCCCCCGCTCCCTCATGCTCCCCCGCTCCCTCATTCTCCCCCGCTCCCTCATGCTCCCCCGCCCCCTCATGCTCCCCCGCTCCCTCATTCTCCCCCGCTCCCTCATTCTCCCCCGCTCCCTCATTCTCCCCCGCTCCCTCATGCTCCCCCGCCCCCTCATGCTCCCCCGCTCCCTCATTCTCCCCCGCTCCCTCATTCTCCCCCGCTCCCTCATGCTCCCCCGCTCCCTCATGCTCCCCCGCTCCCTCATGCTCCCCCGCTCCCTCATGCTCCCCCGCTCCCTCATGCTCCCCCGCTCCCTCATGCTCCCCCGCTCCCTCATGCTCCCCCGCCCCCTCATGCTCCCCCGCTCCCTCATGCTTCCCCGCTCCCTCATGCTCCCCCGCCCCCTCATGCTCCCCCGCTCCCTCATGCTCCCCCGCTCCCTCATGCTCCCCCGCCCCCTCATGCTCCCCCGCTCCCTCATGCTCCCCCGCTCCCTCATGCTCCCCCGCTCCCTCATGCTCCCCCGCCCCCTCATGCTCCCCCGCTCCCTCATGCTCCCCCGCTCCCTCATTCTCCCCCGCTCCCTCATTCTCCCCCGCTCCCTCATGCTCCCCCGCCCCCTCATGCTCCCCCGCTCCCTCATTCTCCCCCGCTCCCTCATGCTCCCCCGCTCCCTCATGCTCCCCCGCTCCCTCATTCTCCCCCGCCCCCTCATTCTCCCCCGCCCCCTCATCCTCCCGCGCCCCCTCATCCTCCCGCGCCCCCTCATCCTCCCCGTCTCGTCCCCCTCACAGATCGTGCTGCTGCTGCGGCTGGTGCCCATCCTGCCATTCAACGTGATGAACTATGTGCTCTCCGTCACCCCCATCAGCCTCTCCTCCTACGTCCTCGCCTCCTGGATCGGCATGATGGTTAGTGCTGGGCATGGCAAGGCATGCAGGCATGATGGTCATTGGTGGGTGCGTGGGGGGTGATGATGACTACTGGGCATGAGAATCAGGCATGAGGATCAGTGTCTATCCCTTGCCTCTCCCCTCCCCTCCCTTGCCTCTCCGCCTCCCCTCCCTTGCCTCTCCCGCTCCCCTCCCTTGCCTCTCCGCCTCCCCTCCCTTGCCTCTCCCGCTCCCCTCCCTTGCCTCTCCCGCTCCCCTCCCTTGCCTCTCCCTCTCCCCTCCCTTGCCTCCTCTGCCTTCCTCCTTCAACCCCCACAGCCCATCACCTTCACCTTCGTGTATCCGAGCACCACCATCAAATTCGTATTCTCCCTTGTCTCTCCTCCCCTCCCCGCCCTTGGCTCGGCAGCCCATCACCTTCACCTTCGTGTATCTGGGCACAACCATTAAAGACATTTCGGAAATCGGCTCCCCGGGAGCTGCTGGGGCATCGCAATGGGTCAGTGCGCTTACAGGGTGTTAGCGCTTATAGGAGGGGTGGTGCTTATGGGAGGATGGTGATTATGGGGGGTTGGTGCTTATGGGGGATTGTGCTTACGGGGGGGTGGTGCGTATCCGTGAGGGGTGTGCGTGTGCACGGCCATGTGGTGCGCTGCTGTTCTGAGACGCACCTGTACTATCCCACCATCTACCCCCAAGTCTTGCTGCATGTGGCATCTAGCCCCATTTTCCCTTACCTGTGCCTGCAACTCACTCTCCCCTGTATGCCCCCCTTCCCTGCCTCCCCCCTTCCCTGCCTCCCCCCTTCCCTGCCTCTCCCCCCTTCCCTACCTCCCTTTTTCTCTCTCCTTTTGTCCCTCTGTGATGGTGCATCTGCAGTGGATGCTTGGGGCCGGCCTTGCTGTCACAAGTGAGTGATCACACTGCATCTCCGTGTTCCTCGCAATCCCCCTGTCCCTTACATCAACTCACACTACTACCTTGCTACCCTCACACATCATGTCTTGCCACCTTCATCGCTTGCAAGAACCCTAGCACCCATCCATCCACCCCACATGCCATCTGCTCCTTTTCCCACTGATCCCACCGCACTCCCTTCCCTCTTGAAGCGGCCCAACCCAACAATCCTTTTCCCTAGAACAAGGGACCACTATCACCTGCCTTCCACTCATGCCAGCCCTGCTATCCCTACTCCTCCCTCTGCCTGCTGCAGTCGTGGCGACTGTGCTTATAACGAGGATAGCAAAAGACGCCCTGCAGAGGGCGATAGAGGAGAACCAGCAGCAGCACTGCGGCCTGCTCTCGCCCCCCGCCTCTTGCTCCTCCACCCCCACCGCCCTCACTCCCCACACAAACAACACGTACCATGTCCCCTCTCCGCACTCCATGGAAGCTTGCTCTAGCAGCAGCAGCAGTTGCTCCAGCAGCAGTGCAGTCAGCAGCAACACCAGTAGCAGTAGCACCACCAGCAGCAGTAGCAGCAGCATGGGCTCAGACAGCCGATCTGCCGTTCTCACCATCCCTGATGGTATCCACCACCCCTCTGTGGGCTCCCTGCTCTCAACACACACCTCATCCTCACACTACGCTCCTCACGCGGCCTCCTTCCCTTTCCAAAAACCACCTGAGCAACCACCTGAGCAGGCACCTGAGCGAGCACCTGGGTGCATGGATCACACGGGGTCAGCTGTGTGTGCCATCACTGTAGACGACACGAACAAGCATCGGGAGGGTGGGGCGAATAGACTAAGGGTGGAAGGGGGAAAGCGACAATCAACACTACCCAGTAGCTATGCTGCATGAACACAAAGGATTGTAGGGGGAGTCATAGGCATGGTGATGCACAGATGAGTTTGGGGTGTTAGTGTTGGCTGTGCCTGTGATGCCTTAGACCACAGCTGCTGCTGCACTGGTGCTATGCTTTATTGGCAGAAGATGCACAACTGGTGAGATGTGCTGGAGAGGAAAAGGGTCATACATCTCTGTATGCATCCAATACATATACGGTATGCACAGTCCGGTTGAGATAGGTTTAGAGGATCTTACTCGCCACTCCAACTGTCCTGTTGCTTACATCCAATAAATACATCCAATATAAGAACAGCCATTAACTCCTGGCTCCTTCCCTGCGCAGTTTTTCTTGCATGCCGTATATTTTGCACGATTTTGTGCTTCCAGTGCTACCGTAGCAACCAAAGGCAGGGCTATTTCGGATTTTCCGACTACCGCTGCTGTTCGCAAACCAATGCAAGAGATGACGATGATACATGGTACGGTTGTACACACAATGTGATGCGAGAGTAAGGCCTACATGATAACTGAGGGTTCTGGTCTGGAATCAATTAGCAAGAGGGGGCAATTGTGGCCTAACCTACCTACAACGTACCTACAACGTACCTACAACGCAGCATACACACCTGACCCTCCACTCCCTTCAACAGGGCTTCAACACCCCCCCTCCCAATTCCTCCTCCACTCATCATTGCCCCTCCACTCATCACCCCTCCTCCACTCATCTCCCCTCAACCTCCTTCACACTCAAGAGGCTCTGAAGGCTGTGACCAGCCGTCTTCCCGCCTGCTGGCTGCATCACTGCACTATCCCCACCGCCCTCCCCTCCCGCCATCTCCCCTTCACTCATGCCCAGTGCAGACGCCACAGACATCATCAGCTTTGACCTCGTACTCGAGCCAGCCGCCCCACTCTTACCCGATGCCATGCTCACACCCGATACCTCGCTGATACCACTCACCGGGGCCTTACTCATCACACCGCTCTGCACCGTGCTGTTAAACGACGAATGCATCACCCCGGAAGATGGGAAGCTCATTCCCGATCCAACGGCTGAGCTCGTGCCAGCCTGGCTCCTCAGCCCCGCATCGCTCGCGCTGCTGCTCAACCCAGAAACAATCCCACCAAGGTCATTCTCGCCCTCATACTCCTCCGTGTAGGTTTGCAGCAGGTGATCCAGCCGCCTCACCACGTCCTTCATCTCAGGCCGCCGCGACCCAGGCGCCTTGATGCAGTCAAGGGCCAGGTCAGCCCACTCCACAATGGCCTCCTCAGGAATCTCCAGCGACTTGTCCCTCAGATCGTCCAGCGTGTATTCTGCCACCATCTTGCTCGCCTGGGGATGGGCAGGAGGGGAAGAGGGGGAGCGGGAGGATGGGGGGGCTGAGTTTTGAGGTGGCTCAGTACAGGTCAGCCCACTCCAATATAGCCTCCTCGGGAATCTCTAGCGACTTCTCCCTCAGGTCGTACAGCGTGCATTCTGCCACCATCTTGCTCGCCTGAGGAGGGAACGGGGGAGGGGAAAGGACGAAAGGAAGCGAGGAGAGGGTAGCAGCATAAGAGAACACAGACTAGAATATGCGCCATGAAGTCCTATGCTGATGTGTCAGTGGATGATTTGCTGAAATTTGATTCTCAGGAGTCTGCTGACGTGTCTCTCACCCATTTGCCGATGTGGGAGCTGCCGCCCATGGTGACCTTGCGCGCTGTCAGCATCTCCAGCAGCACCACCCCAAAACTGACACATGGCATGCGAGGGGTAAGAGGGTGTACACGGACGAGGGCGTTGAGGGGACACTGGATGCTATGATTGGGGTCGATTGGGGCATGGGGCATGGGGCATGGGGCATGGGCATGGGGCATGGGGCATGGGGCATGGGCAATGGGCATGGGGCATGGGGCATGGGGCATGGGCAATGGGCATGGGGCATGGGCAATGGGCATGGGGCATGGGGCATGGGGCATGGGCATGGGGCATGGGGCATGGGCAATGGGCATGGGGCATGGGGCATGGGCAATGGGCATGGGGCATGGGGCATGGGGCATGGGCAATGGGCATGGGGCATGGGGCATGGGCATGGGCATGGGGCATGGGCATGGGGCATGGGCATGGGGCATGGGCAATGGGCAATGGGCATGGGGCATGGGGCATGGGCAATGGGCATGGGGCATGGGGCATGGGCAATGGGCATGGGGCATGGGGCATGGGCATGGGCATGGGGCATGGGCATGGGGCATCGGCATGGGGCATGGGCAATGGGCATGGGGCATGGGGCATGGGCATGGGGCATGGGCAATGGGCATGGGGTGCAAGGTGGAATTATGCAGGAGGATGCTGCAGTCCATTATGTAGTACAATAGCCCGGTGTGCCGTTTCAGTCGACTCGAAAATCACCTGCAAGCACCACTGTCAGCCGCCCACCTGCAACCACCATTATTAGCACCCACCCACCTGTACACATCGCTCTTGGTGGTGACCATCTGGGTGCGATTGTAATCCGGGTCCACATAGCCCGGTGTGCCCGCCACCCTGGTTGCGGTCTCATCCCCCACCTTGAGCGTCTTGAGCAGCCCAAAATCTGCGATCTTGGCCTGGGCGGGCGGGCAAGGGGCGCAGGAGGGTGAGGGAAAGCAAGGAGGGGAGTGCGGGGATGGTTGAAGCACTCTCATCCCCAGCCTTGAGCGTCTTGAGCAGCCCAGAATCTGCTATCTTTGCCTGAGAGGGTTCGGGGGGCAAGGAGGAGAAAGTGAGGAGGGCAGGTGAGGTAGTTTAGAGCGTCTTGACTTGAGCAGCCTGAAGTCTGCTATCGTTGCCTGTGAGGGGGTCGCAGGTGGGCAAGAGAGGGGAAGTGGGGAAAGTGAAGGGGGGGAGTGGGGAAAATGAGGGGATGTTAGGGGATGCTCTCAAACCGCATCTTCAGCATCTTGAGGCTCGAGGCTCAGGGTGAGGTAGTGGCATCGCAAGGCGACAAGCTCTAAGGCTAGCGGCTAGAGGCTCACTGTGAGGTGGTGGCATGGCAGGGCTAGGGCCTGGAGGATAGAGGCTCACCGTGAGGTTTTCCCCAACGAGGATGTTGGCGGGCTTGATGTCGCGGTGAATGATGGGATTCTCAAAGCCGTGCAGATATGCCAACCCCTCCGCTGCCCCCACCGCCAGCTTCAACCGCTGCCGCAGGTTCAACGGGCCTGGGCAGGGGATGTGGAAAGAGAGGGGGAGCGGGGAGGAGGGGGATGAAAGAGTGGGGGGAAGAGGTGGAGATGGAGAGGTGGCTGGATGGCGAGCTTGAGTAAAAATGGCTGATGTTCACAGTGCGGGCGTTTCTGTTAGCAACTCTCGCTCTGTTAAATGAAATAGCCATGCTTGTTTCTGCAGATGTGGCACTCACGCTTGGGCTTGTGGATGGACACTCACGCTTGGGCTTGTGGATGTGGTACTGGAAGTCGCGGTGTGGCACGAACTCGTACACGAGGATCTGCTCCTGCTTGCCGCTCTCCACGTTCATGTCCAGACAGAACCCCAGCAGCCGCACCAGGTTCTTGTGGTTCAGACTCGCCATCGCCCGCACCTAGGAATCAAAGAACAAGCACGTGGGTTAGGGCACAAGCACTGCCAAACTGCTAGTACGGCAGCAGCAATGAGTACATAATCGCCACCTTCCAGGATCCGACAATGAAGGTAGGATATTTTTAGCTCAACACTTGGATACCAATTTGGCAGAGCGGGAAAGGGTGAGGGTGGGAGGGTCGGTGACGCCCTTGGATGTGATGTGGTGCGCTTGGTTCGCGCGCCGGGAGCTGGGAACACGACGCACACCCCATACTCGTTACAGGCATTCTCACCTCCATTTCAAAGTCGTTAGACATGAGCGTTTGCCTCTTGATGGCCCAGAGCTGCCCGGTGGCGGGGTTGACGCCCTTGTACACGACAGCAAAGCCCCCCTCGCCCAGCAAGTTCCCCTCCGCCCAGTCGTTGGTGGCCTTGCGCATCGTGGCGATGGAGAACTCCTGACACACATCCAGGTCGTCCCATCGGCCTGGGGAGAGGAGAGGTTGGGAGGGCGGGGTGGGGAGGAGAGTGGGAAGCGCATGTGGGGGAAGGAAGGGAGCGTTAGAGGCGATTGAG